GAAATGTGGTAACTGGACAAGATGGGAATTGGGGAATGTGGTAATTGGGGAATGTAGGAATTGGGGAATGTGGGAATTGGGGAATGTGGTAACTAGACAAGATGGGAATTGGGGATGGTCGGAATTGGACAATGTGGGAATTGGGGAATGTGGGAATTGCACAATGTGGGAATTGGGGAATGTGGTAACTGGACAAAATGGAAATCGAGGAATGTCGGAATGTCACAATGCGGGAATCGCACAATGTGCCAATTGGGAAACGTAGGAATTGACAAGTGTTCAAATTTGAAAATATAGAAATTTGCAAATTTATGAATTTATGACTGCAAGAATTATAAATTAAAAAATTTGCAGGATAACAAAAAACATCGAGAGTCACATACAAAAACCTCTCGAATATCTTTAATTCTCTCAACTTCGCCTTAATAATATTCCCGTTACACATTTTGATCGTTCAATTTCATTATAGACATATTACGATCACACTTTCACCGACAAGTTATGAAATCATAATCGATAGACGATAACTCCAAGATTTAAGAGATCACGTAATCGCACCATTCCAGCCACCATTCAACCTCAGCAAAACTCCATCATTTCAAGCGATCCTTAGCTCATAAACGCGACTAACTCTCCAAGGTCCAACGGCAGCCTTGATTAGAGTTTCTGGTTAATAAATGCACAATGGTTCACATTATGCATGACGCAACTAAGACGTATTCCAAACATGAAATTACTTTCAAATGACTGTGCGAAAAGTGGTCTTTTGTGCTATTGGCGTAGGTTGTAGGTTAAAATAACACTATTCAGCAACGATAGTAATACGTATTCTAGTAATGAATAGAGCACCTTGATCATCACTGTGCGTCTTGATGGAAGACGAAACCATTTGAAGTCTCGGGAAAAAAAACAAATTGTGAATGAATGAAAGAACTGAGAACTGTGGATAATTTTACCACTTTACATTCCTTTCTAATAGTTTGAACGTGAGGAAGGCTTTATTAATTTACTGTATTCATCGGTTCTCTATAGTTTTTTACATCGCATTTTATGATTGTGTTCGTCTTATGAATTTTTTTTACTTTTAGGATGTTGCGTGGCCAGGTCCATGTATGATGTGGCGGAGGACATGTGGAATTTGGGAGTTGTGGAATTGGGGACTGGTGGAATTGGAAGCTTGA